CTCAAGGTGAGCGCTCTACCACTTGAGCCACAGCGCCACTTCTGACTGCTGAGGAATTGAACCCAGGGCCTCATGCATGCAAGGCAAACGCTCTACACTGAGTTACCCTCCTAGCCCTTTTCCCCGTTTTTTTGTCACTCTTGGGGCTTGAACTCAGGGCCTGGGCACTGTCCCTGAGCTCTCTCACTCAAGGCTAGTGCTCTATTCTATCACTTGGAGCCAGCGATCCACTTCTGGTTTTCTGGTGGTTCACTGGAGAGAAAGAGTCTCGCAGACTTTCCTGCCTGGGCTGGCGTGAGCCACCTGCACCCCGCTTGTAACAAGCCAAACGTGAAGGAGCCCTGGCTTCCATCCTTTCCTCCAAAAACAACCCACTCTTGAGAGAACTAACCAAGGTCCCAGGAGAAGAGCATTAATCTCTTCCAAGGGTAATGCCCCAAATGACCTAATTACCTCCTGCTAAGCCCCATCTCTTCAAGGATCCACCCCCTCACCTCTAGCCACACTGGGACCAAGACTGCAGCACATGAACCGCTGTTGTATTTATTTATTTGCCTCCCTTGGACTCTCCACCCAGCCAGGGCCTCCGCCCACACGTGGTATTCTGTTTGTTTTCGTTTCTGTGCTGATTACTGGGACTTGAACTGCAGGGCTTGAGTGCCGTCCCTTAGCTTTTTGTGTTTAAATGGTACCTGAGCCACATCTCCACTTCTCCCTTAAGTGTGGTGTGTGTGTGTGTGTGCACGCATGCACATATGCACGTGCCAGTCCTAGGGCTTGAAGTCTGGACCTGGGTGTTGTCCCTGATCTTCTTTTGCTCAAGACTAGCTCTCTACCACTTGAGCCACAGCTCCACTTCTGGTTTTCTGGTGGTTCGTTGGAGACAGAGTATCACAGACTTTCCTGCCCAGGCTGGCTTCGAAATGTGATCCTCAGATCTCAGCCTCCTGAGGAACTAGGATTTCAGGTGTGAGCCACCGGCTCCTGGTCCACACACTATTTATAGGTAATATACTGTTCACCTTCAGGCGACATGAGAAGAACGCTGGCCCTCAGCTCTTCTGCTCAAGGCAAGCACTCTACCACTTGAGCCATAGTGCCACTTCTGGTTTTGAGTGGTTTATTGGAGCTAAGAGTCTCATGGACTTTTCCTGCTCAGGCTGGCTTTGAACCGCGATCCTCAGACCTCAGCCTCCTGAGTAGCTAGGATGACAAGCGTGAGCCTCCAGTGCCCGGCCGTTCATCCTTTTCTTGCTTTTTTGATTTTTGACTTCCTAATGAATGAAAGAGATTATTAAGAACAGTTTTTAGGCCAGGTACCAGTGGCTTATCTATGATCCCAGTTACTCATGAGGCTGAGATCTGAGATTCGCAGTTCAAATCCAGCCCAGGCTGAAAAGTCTGTGAGACTCTTGTCAGTCGTGGGGCCTGAACTCTGCGCCTGGGCGCTGTCCCTCAGCTCCTCAGCTCAAGGCGTGCGCTCTACCACGTAAGTCACAGCATCACTTCTGGAGACAAAGAGTCTCATGGACTTTCCTGCCTGACTGGCCTTGAATGGCAATCCTCAGATCTCAGCCTCCGGAGTAGCTAGGATGACAGGCATGAACCACCGGTGCTGGGCTATGAGGCTCTTATCTACAATGAAATAGCAAAAAGCTGAAAGTGGAGTCATGGCTCATGCGGTAGAGGACCAGCTAGCCTTGAGCAAAAGAGAAAAAGAATAAAAATGAGCATGGTCCTGAGTTCAAGCCCTAGTACCTGACCAAAAAAAGAAAGGAAAAGGGCTGGGAAGGTGGCTCCGTGGTAGAGCGCTTGCCTAGCATGCACGAAGCCCTGGGTTCCATTCCTCAGCACCATATTCACAGTACAAGCCGGAAGTGACTCAGTGGCTCAAGTGGTAGAGCGCTAGCCTTGGGCAAAAGGAGACTCAGGGACAGCGCTCAGGCCCTGAGTTCAAGCCCTGGGACTGGCAAAAAAAAAAAAAAAAAAACAGAATCTCACAGACTTTCCTGCCTGGGCTGGCTTGGAACCTTGATTCTCAAGTCTCAGCCTCCTGAGGAGCTGGGGTTACAGGCGTGAGCCACGGGCTCTCACTGTCACCGAAGCTGTCTGTGCTGTGCCCGGTGTTTGGACTGGGCGGTGAGCGGGTGGCACCTGTTGTTTCCAGCAGATACTGGGGGCCATGGAGTCTCAGGTGGGGGGGGGGCCGGCCGGCCCAGCCCTGCCCAACGGGCCACTCCTCGGTACCAATGGAGCCACTGATGACAGCAAGACCAACCTCATCGTCAACTACCTGCCGCAGAACATGACCCAGGACGAATTCAAGAGTCTCTTTGGCAGCATCGGGGACATCGAGTCTTGCAAATTGGTGCGGGACAAGATTACAGGTGTGCCTGGCCTCGGGGGGG